TTTGAGACTAATAATGGCTGGAGACGGCTTGAGTGGGTAATGAAGAAATGTTATCATAACAGCAATATTCAACGTTTCGACAAGGTTTTGGTACCTGATGATGACAAAACCTTGTCGAAACGTTGTACATTTGCTGTTATGTTAAACTTATATTAAAGTTTTTCTTCAAGCCATTATTAGTCTCAAAGTGGGTTCCTCGTCATCGAATTTGACATATAACTACAGCTTTTATCATGAAGTGTATACAATATTGTATTCAGAAACATAGATATCAGGTAATGGCTGGAGACGGCTTGAATGGGTAATGAAGAAAAACTTTAATATAAGTTTAACATAACAGCAAATGTACAATGTTTCGACTTGTATTAAAATGTTTCTTCATTACCCATTCAAGCCGTCTCCAGCCATTATTAGTCTCAAAGTGGGTTCCTCGTCATCGAATAGATATCAGGTAGTTTCCAGAAATGTTATGCAGAGAGTTATATTGATCATAGATAGCATAAAAAGACAAATGACTCGAGCAAACAAGTAAAATAGAATATTGATACACGATAATATATTTTTGTGATACTAAACGGGCCAACTTCTACACGTTCAAACATAACTTGGCTTTTGGGGTTACATAAAACAAAGACAAGATAAAGAATATGGTAATACCACATTTTAAAGTCAAACCACTTTCTCGTACGGCCACTCTCAATACTTAGATTACTTAAGTTAACAACTATTCCAAATCATAAATACAAGGAAGAATACCTAAACTTATTCTAACTTATACAAATGCGTCATTCCTCGAGATGTGTTTACCCCACTCAAGCAGTCCCACAAAAACAAGTACATACAGTGTCAAATTGGTGCAAGCTTCTACGAGATAGTCATTTTAGTATGTAATCTGTACCGAAACAAATGGATTTGTAAATGTTTACGAAATTTTTACATTATAGATTTCGTTACCTACGTTCAGAACACTTGGACTGAAATCCACAAAAGTTACCTGAATATACCTTACTAGAGATATATAGAAAACAACCTAGAGAGGAGTGAAACTGAAAGTTATTTTAACTGTGATAACCACTTTTCCGTATTCAGAGTCGGATTTAGAGGGAGTGTAGCCAATCCAATTGCATAATGGCCTTGAGCTACAAAAAAGGGTGCCTAAATTTTGAATCACCCCAGAAGTTGGTCTCCTGATAGCAGTATTGCATGGAGACCTCAAAGAGTCTAAATCCACTGTATGCTAGATAATAGCCAAGTAAAATACACTGGTTCAGTACAATTAAAATAATTCACTATGACCATTTTGTATGTCAACTCAGCAACCTAGACACTACTCAAGCACAATACATTGGTTCAGTAGAGTTGAAATTATTTACTATGGCCATAATGTATGACTACTCATTGTACCAGGCCCTCTCCAAGCACAGTACACTGGTTCAGTACAGATAAAATTAATCACTATGACCATTATGTGTGTCAACTCAGTACAGTGCTGGATTTGATGGAACCCATGCAAATTCAAGAAGGCCTCGAGGTCCAAAGAAGGTGGCTTCAATATTGAATCACCCTAGGAAGGGGGCTTCAAGAATACAGTATTGCATGGAGGTCTCAAAAGAGTTTAAATCTGATCCTTTCCTAATTTCAGAGCCTTTTCAAACACAACATTAAAATTAAACATTAGCAGCCCAATCAGTTAACTAACGGGTCATAATGTGCAGTAATTGACCCCCTTCTGGTGACACAGAAGACAATATGACTTCTATACAAAGATAACAAAAGGTTTCAAAGAAACTTCAACAGCCAGGTAAAGTAAAAAATTAACTAAAGACAATAAAATTAGGATGAACAACATTCTATATTTAAAAGAGAAGAGGGCAGAGATAAACGTTTCGGAACTGTACCGATTCCATTTCCAGTATCTAAAGCAGAATAAAAGAATTGCTTCGTTCCTAAGTAAATATATAAAATGCATAGCTACATTAACGATAAATTAATCAAAACTAAAACACATAGAAAGTAATGGAGTAACAAACATAAATACTGTACATATTTTAAAACGTGCTATTTAAAAACAGATTGCGTGTTATTTAGTATTGGCCTTGCAAAGAATATTAAAATTTAAGAAGTTAAGTTCGTGTCCTGTTTTTTCACTATGTTGGCATATAGAAGAAGTATAGGAGTTACTCAGCTTTTCTGTGTTTTAATGGAAATTCCCATATGTTTGTTAACTCTAACTAGTATATGGCGTTTGGTTTTGCCAATATATGAAGACTTACAGTCTCCACACATATAAATATAAAATGCCATGAACAAAGAGAAATTGGATTTGGTTTATTTAGAATTTCGCGCGAAGCTACACGAGGGCTAACTGCGCTAGCAGTGAAAACTAGAGGGAAGGCAGCTAGTTATCACCACCCACCGCCAACTCTTGGGCTACTCTTTTACCAATGAATAGTGGGATTGACCGTTACACTATAATGCCCCCCACGTCTGACAGGGCGAGCATGTTTGCGAAATGGAGATTCGAATCTGCCACCCACAGATAGCGAGTCGAGCGTCCTAAGAGAAACTGGGAGAAGATATTTAGTACCGAAAGAATCCAGTATGCGTGATGTCGGTTTAAAAACTAAGCTGAAATCAACTTAATAACAATGAATTACGGGCTTAATTTGGTTTACAAATAAATGGAAGACAAAGAGTATATAATAAGTTTGGCAGTCTAGATGAATTTGTAAGTTTCTTAGTTAGAGAGGTATAAGTAATTTTTTGTAACGGATTTTGTGGGTAGCCGTTATATTTTAGAATATCCTGTATGAGAGAAATTTCTGTGTATAAATTAAGGAACTTCGAAACGGATGTAAGTTGTGTTTAGCAAGCATGTTACAATATTTTTTTTGTATGTGAACGGATATAGCTGTCATATTGTGTAAGGAGTCCAGTAAACGTCTTTTTTTCTGTATATTGACGTACCAAGTCCACTAGAGTTACGGTTAACGAGGATCTAAAGGTAAATTATTATTATTATTATCAACTTTGCAAGTGAATTTAATAGCAGGATGTTGTGAGTTGAGGTCTTCTAAAATTTTTGAACAGTGATCGTTATTGTGAAAAAGAATAAAAGTTTTGTCTATATATCTTCTGTAAAAGATAGGTCTGAAGTCAGCGGGGCAGGTGTCGAGCCATTTCTGTTCGTGATATGAGAGAAATATATTAGTTAACGTTGGACCCAGTGGGGAGCCCATCACTACACCATCTATTTGTTCAAAGAGGGTGTTGTTGAATAGTAAACGCAAATTCTTAGTTGAAGAAATCTCAGCCTTAAAAGAAGTGTCACTAAATGAAAATATTCATGTTACCCGGCCGACAAAGGCAATACCATCGTTATCCTTAATAAAATGACTACTTGAGCAAAATACGGGTTATTTTTGCCGATTTTACCGAATTCAAAATTCTTAACAATGGCCCTTTGTCGCTTACCATCTAATGTGAGTTAAAAATCCAAAAATACCTGAGATAACTTAAAAACAAAAATTTCATATCCGAAAATGTTGCTGCTTCGTTGTATCCGAGAAGTCCTACCCTGGTATTTTATACGGTCTTAATAAAATTCACAATTATTTCAGTCTTAGGCACACATACTTACAAACTTGTGAAACTCCTGGTACCTATACTACAACCACTCACTGCCACTTATGTACTTGATTCTAATCAGCAGCAGTATAAGAGCACGTTTATTAGAGTATCAGGTATTTATACAAAACAACCGATTTACAGTCGAATTCATACATCAGATATAAATAGTTCCTAATTAACAAATATTACACCTTTCATCTTTTTTTAAGAAATTGAAATGTTAATCCATGTTTATAATCTTCATTATTTGTTTTGACACAGATCAGGAGGTTTTCTCTATCGTAATGGATATCGTCTCTCTGGGGTTACTGCATGGGCATTGATGTATGTAAAAAACCATCTGAGCAGTAGGTGAAGACATCAGTGAATAAATTTACAGTGAAACAACTTCTGGTTTAACAGGGGATGGTAATGTGGGTGTATTTACATCAGACTCTGGTGTAATAAGCGGAGTCTGAGTGATCACATGTAAATTCGTGTGATTCTCGAGTACGGCTTTTTCCATTATGTGGGACAATCTGATCCATATGAATATGTCGTGTGTTTTCTCCTACACACACCATGTAACCTAATGGCCCTAATCATTGAACAATAACTGCGGGGCTCCACTTCTGTTGTTGAGCTCGGTAATTATGCACCAGAACTCTTTGACCAGGTACAAAAGTATGTACTCGTCCTCTTACAGTTTGCTGTTTGTTGTCGACGTGTTTAGCCAAACTGGGTCGAATTAAATCCAATCTCGTGTTTAATTTGCGCTTTAAGAACAATTTCACAGGACTCGCACCTGTCAGTGTGTGAGGTGTACGACGATAAGCAAACAATATATTCGCTGACTTGTACTCTAATGTCAGATCACTTAAATTCGAGTAGGATTTCAATTCTTGCTTCAACACTTGTACCATTCTCTTTGCTGCACTATATGAGGCGGCATGATAAGGAGAGATGCGTTTATGTTGGAT